GATTCCCCGTAGTGGAGTCGATTGAATCACGGTGCTTGGTCGGCTTCGTTTCGCGCTGGGACCTGGTGCGGGCGCTGGGTATGTTCGCCGGTTCTCCCCCCATTCTGCAGCCACGTATTCCTCCCATAGGGCCTATGCTCGCATCCTCTATTTCTTATGTTTTGTCTTTCAGATCTGGATCGTTCACAGGACGTCCGACGCTACGGGCCTACGGCGATCGTCTGCTTTACAGACCGAGCTCCACCTGCCATCCTCACCAGAAAACGTGTCTCCACCAGTGTCCTCAGCCCCGAGTTTAGCGATCCCAACAAGGGCAGTGGTCCGTTCCTCGTCGATGTTCAGCACATTGTTGATCTAGTGAGTCACTGTCTGTCTGCTTGCGGCATATTTTAGGTGGTGAATCTTCTGTTCGCATTGTTGTGTATACTTGACTATCAATTTTCACCCTGCCTTGAAGAACCTTTAAGGGGCAAAGTACTCAATTGGAATTATAGCGGTGGGCTGTAAGACACCGTCATGCAACGAGACGATACCCGGCGTCTGAAATTTATTATATCCGGTTGTCCCGAATGTGACCCCTTCTTTTACATGTGATAATTTAAAATAAAATTTTGCTGTTTGGGCTGTTTTGATGGTTCATGCCTACTTTGATTGACCAAAAGTATCATTAAATTCTCGGTGTTAGGCGTAGCTCAACTGGTAGAGCATCGGCTTCGCGTAAAGGCCTTCCCTACTATGCGGCTTCAAATCCCGCCGAATGCCGCAAGTTTTTTCCCAATTGGGTCAACTGAATTAACCAGATCTGCCAAACCTCTTAAATAGTTTACGCCTACACCCAGCTTTAGTTCTCCTGAAGGCGGCAAACAGGTGCTTCAGCGTCCGCTTTGTCTCTCCGCGTTGCCCACGTAATCTTTCTGACCAGCTTTCTCAGTCGCTGCCTCCGTACGCGCCCATGGGGGACAAACGGAGAAGAGCTGCCAACATTCTGGCACCCTCTAAGGTATATGAAGAATATGTCAAAAGCAAAGAAAGTTATCGCAGCGGAGGTCGGCGTGGGTATCGTCCGACAGTCACTATGTATTCTCGAATGACGCTACTAAAGGACCGACTGGATGTAGGTGTGCAGTCTGGCGTCGTTTATCAATTACCATGCTGCGACTATTCTTGCCATTATATAGGGTAGCCCAGGCAACGACTTAGTTCGTGAATAGTGGGGCACAAACGAGTGGTGTGGAAAGGCAACCCACTGTCTCAAACCGCTACGCACACCCTGGAGGAGGGTCACGAATTCAACTTCACCGGCACCTGGATAATGGCGCGAACCAGTAATAAGTCGGAGCGAGAACTACTAGAGGCCTGGGCATCTGACTCCAGCTCCATCGAAAGACATGTTGAACTAGCTCCCTGCTATCACGCCCTTAGTTTGCATGTTCAAGAAGTGCAGCCCAGTTCAGTGGCCAGCGTGCACCCCGTGACGACGAAGTGAGACAGCATGGCGTGGATTCACCCTATCACGAATGGATCATTAGTCAATCATGTGGAAGACGAAAGGTGGAGTGAGGTTATTCCCGTTACTGAGCTTTTAAATCTTGGTGTGAGGGGACCATTCGTTCCAGCTGCTTCGAGATTTTCCTCACTGTTGCCATGACTTCTGGACAACTTAGGGAAAAAACCGGTCGTTTCTAGAAGGTTGACGTTACTCTCTGTCGTTGAATCCATCGTGAGTCTCACGATTTGGTCTCCTGGTCCCCCGTTTGGTGCCCTTAACAACAATTTCAGCTGATCGAGTTGCTAACTGCATAATCATAATCATATTCTTCTTATCCTTCTTTTCTTCAATTGCTTCTGCATTTGATTCTTCAATGATTTCGCCTCCGGAAATGTAGGCGAATTAACTTTGTTAACACGTTTCTCAAGTGATACTGTTTGCGAGTATCCTTTGAGTCACTATCCCGTCGTAACGCGTACCTCAATTCCCAATGATAACAACAATTGGTATAGTATGGTACTGATAAATACACAGTGACCAATAAACCAGTTACAAATGTCGACGGTAGATACCCGTGGTCAGTAACAAAGAAGTTGGCCAAATGTAATGCCTGACTCTTGACAAGGAAAAACGCCCGTTTGCTAACGTCTTACACACGCATACACGAGAATGATTTAACAGCACAAGCGCGTCGCTGTTTCAAGATCAAAGTCGATGTGAATAAACAAAAAGCGAAGAGAACAATACGCATGTAGGTCAGACACAATTTTGAGGGTGATACGCCTTGTTTTAAAAATACAGTTACAAGAGTTTCAGGAAATCGTTCTCCAGCACTACACAACACCGGCACCACATACCAGCACCACAGGGTACCACAACAGACGCGTCTTCGACCGCGTTCCCACCCGCCCTCACGGCGGCCAAGGTCTGCTTCACCAAACCTCCGCATGGTGGATCTATCTCCCCTCCTCTATATCTCTGTTTTTTATGACGGAGCAGCC